TGAGGGAGCTGATATGAGAGCTATAAGGAATCTCAAACGGGCAGAGCTCCTTGACCCATCAGAAGAGACTCCTGCAGGCGGGAGAGACAAGCAGGTGCTCCAAGGCCCCTGCGGAGCCAGGGAGCCACCTGTCACTGGCTCTTTGGAAAGTCCATTGTGCTCCAGGGCAAAGCACAGCAGAGAGAATTTTCACCCCAAATGGAGGCGTCGTCTAAGACCCCAGCAAACACCAGACACATCCTAACTTAAGAGATGTTAAAAGTGGAAAAGGCATGCTTCTTGGACTCTGAGAGAGAGTCGCATTTTTACATGCAAAATAGCCTTAACAGTGGGCATCCGGCTGAACAGCATCAGGGCTGTATGATGGTGCAGGCATCTCGACACCCACACGCCGCAGGTCACAGGAGCCGCCTGCCCATCATGGCAAGCTCATGAGACGACCTGCAGGAGGTGCAGAGTCAGACCCTCCTGAGCGAGGACCATGGCGCGTGCCCGTCCTGATTGCTTTTCAGCACCCAACATGCTGCCAGGCTGCCAGCGGCCAGGGGCAGCACCCAACAAGACCTGTTCATGCTGCCAGGCTGCCAGGGGCTTTACGGGCCCAGTGGTCTCACTTAATCAGCACACGTGACCTCCCCCTGGACCGAGGCTGAGAAGTCCTTATGCATTCCCATGTCTGCAGACACCAGACCTGTGTGTGCAAGTGCCCACGTGCGGGTGTAACACCAGGCACTAGTGCACACGCATGTGGTGACCAGCTTCATAAAGATGGAGTCTTCTTGCATTCACTCCTTCACCCAGAAGAGCCCTCAGCCTCCCGCCTTCTCTTTTCTCCCTAAAGTTTGCTTTTCTAGAGTTCACCTTTGTTCCTCGAATTTGATTTCTTGATTGAAATGAGCTAGATAGGCCTTATTCTGTGCTTTTTGTTCTCCTTCATACTTAGACTATTGCCTCCAGGGTGAATACTGTGTCTTCTATTCCTTGCACCATCCCCAGAACACCACTGAGGCTGAACAAATAAATAACCAGAGTTCTGAAGTCTACAATGTACAGAACAGGCTCATCGATCAAAATTTTGACACCAGAGCACAGAGTCAATTATCATGTATTAACTTGCTCTTATTGGCATTTCACTGCATTTAGAGAAGATTCACTTCCTCTTCTCCCTGCCACCACAACTTTGCCATCCCTGAAACTAACATAATTGAGCACACTTTATGCAGGACTCAGCTTCCCCTAAGACTCTAAAAACATCTCCTCTCTCTTTAAGAAAGATGGAGGCCCTGAATATTCTGTCTCACACCTGACGCTTGGCAAATGAACGCCCCCCTCAAATACAATCTTAGACTGGGAAAAGCATTTCACACACACCGCCTAATGCAATTTTTACAAGATTGTAAAGCAGATCAGACGTCATTCCCATTTTCAAGGTGAGAAGACTGACCCAGAAATGTGAATTGACTACTTGTTGATGCCCTAACCAGGAAGGGGGGGAAGGGGAGGAAAAGAAAATTCTAGAAGAGTTGAAAGCAGAAGCTAAGGCCAGGCCCTCGCTTCGCTTCTCATGGAACCAGCAGCGAGCAAATTCCTCAGCCCTACCTGGTAGCAGCAGCTGTAAGAGAAACAATCATTCACCTAATAGGACATAGAAGTGGCTGTGCAATATGGTGGCATTACTGCCTGGCATTTCTGTCAATACACCATAGAATTTTCCAGGGCACCTTCACAGAAAGAGTTTCATCCATTCTTCAAAGTGGCCCTCATGGTGTTACCACAGGAACGTTCTCTCAGACAGGGCACACCTGGTACTGCACGGAGATGGCCAGCTTGGCCCAGACCCCTGCCTGCCCACTTGGATTAGAGACGCAGCCAGGAGGCAGGCCAGAGGCACCGGTGAAGTCAGCCTCGTGCCAGCGTCTCTGAAAAATATCACGTGGGAGGACCCCCTACACAGGGCGGGGCTCTTCTCAGGGAGCTAAAAATGGGGCACTTGCCAAGAAGGGGTTCGGGCTGGGGTGCAGGAGCTTCAGGCTCTGCTTCCCGGACCCTGACCGGCCATGTCTGGCTGGCTCTCCCACACCGCCTGCTGGTTTCTCTCCTTTACCCGCAGAAGGGGTCGGGGGTCGTTCTTCTGGTGGAGGGGTAAGGCTTCTGCCTTCTCCCCTGTCTATCTGGATTGGGGGCTCCAGTCCCAGGTCGTTATGCCTGAGGGCTCTGCCACAGGCACAGGACACCCTGCCTGCCTGTCTGCGCTCCAGCTTTGGAGAACACAGTCTCCGCAATGGGGGCAGGGTCTCTCAGTGGACACTGGCTTCCCCGTGGAGAACCATGTAGCACAGGGGTTAGAGCGCTTGACACACACACACTTGTACGCACACCCCTGTGTGTGTCTTTGTGGGATGATACATGCAGTGGGTGCTACTCCCAAATGCTATCAGTGTCCTTGGAGGTCCCAGTCCAGATGCTCTTGCTTTTGGGGTGTTCTGTGTCCACATCTGGGAAATGATCAGTGGGCAGTGTAGGGCCTGTCACCTGCTGTGCTGGCTCGTGCAATTCAGGACTGAGAACTTGGGTAGCAACGGACCCCAGAACTCCCCATCATTTCTGCAATTAATGCCTACTACTTGAGTGATGATGAAGGATGAACTCATACAGAAACGTGTTCTGAAAATTATGGACACTGCATCCAAATGGGATAGGTTTATCTGCTGCAGAAATGGCGGTTAGAACTGCAAGCCCCTGACTCTGGGGGTGTGGATTTGCAACTGAAAGAAGTACAAACTGCCCTTCCTTGCCCTGGGGGCTCCCCAGCCTTCCTGGAGAAGCTATAGGGACAGGCCATTAGTGCCAGACCTCTGAGCTAATATATTTTAGAAATGGGAAGGGGGAAAGGGAAGGTAACCCAAACCCTGAAATAGGGTGGGGGGAGCAGAGAAAGAAGCAGGGCTGCCAGTGTACTTGATGTTAAATAAAACCTACCAAGACTCAGCTGAGAATTTTAGCAGAATCCAAATGTGCTATAAAAAAAAAAAAAAAAGAGGCACGGCTCCCATCTCTAAGGTTCACAGCTAAGCTGGCTTAGAATCACACATGCCAAAGTTAAAAATAAAAAGCAGTCATCCCTGAATGACACGGACTCTGAGGAGGAAGCCTGGGGTAGCGGGTCTGGCGGTGGAGCGAGCAAAGGGGTGTGCGGGGTCTGGGGTCAGGGTCTGGATGTTTATTTGAGGTTACACTCTCTGGAGCCAGATGCTCCAAATTTTACATTTTGTACTTAAAAGGTACTTCGCATTGGCCAAGGAATTTGTAATGATCTTCAGATTTCCATTGAGGAAACCTGTGGTGCATTGGGGGAGGGGGGGCTGTGGGCCCCCCCCCCCCCAGGGCTATGCTAGTGGATGCACTTGCCTTTCCCAAGCTGGGGTCTGGCTGCCACTGTGCTCCGACACCCAGATGGGGTGTCTGTGGTCACAGCTCGTAGAGCATCAGATCTGCCTCTCTGTGCCGCCTATTGCATTCAGCTGGCATGATGGTGCTGGGCCACCCACAGGCCAGCTTGCCCATGCGGGCCTCCAGGGCACCTGCATGCCCCACCCCTAGACCCTACAGCCAGGGCTAAGGCCAAGGTGACAGGTCGGCCCTGTTGCCCAACCACCCCCCTTCTTGTAAATCCAAGGACTCCTGTTACAGCCTCACTGGGATCCTCTAATGAAGTTGTCCTTTGTCCAATATGCTTACAGACGTTCTCTCAACTAAAGAGTTAACTTTTATTAAAACATTTTTTAAAATTAACCTGCACTGTGGCATCAGTTACCATGTTACCCTCCCTAGTTCCATTACTATGCAGACATTTCTAGAAAGTCTTTCGGGGGTCTGGAGAATGGTGAGGATTTTGTGATCCGTGTGTTGTAGAGACCCCATTCATGATCACCCCCAGGGAAGTCCTGGCTCAGCCCACATGTGAGCCAGAGCTACACGTCAGCACCACACAGGGCCATTGAACAGAGGGAGGAAGCTGCCACCTTCCAGAAGCTTCAGGCCATTCCAATACAGCCCCAGCCCTGGAGACGCCCACCCCCACCCCACCCCCAGGACACTGGCCAGTGGAGCGTCTAAACGCGTGGGGGATCCTGGCTTAGGGTCCTGGTGCCTGTCGGGACCCCAGATTCCACACCCTGGCCTCTGGCTTAGCCACATCACCCCACACAGTGTCCTTTCGGCTCTTTGAAAGCACTTTAGAAAGGTCTTGGGGGACAGACAGAGCAGGGACGGTTGAAGCTTAGAGAGTTTAAAGAATTTGCTAGAGCTACTCAGCCCAGCCTAGACTCAATCCTGAGGTTCCTATCCCCTATTCTAAGAGCACTAACTCCAGGTCAGAGCTACTGGGGTTTCAGTCCAGACACAGGAGCGAATAGCTGGAGCCTGGAATAAGACTTGAAAGGGACCTTTCTCATCCAGACACCTCCAAGGAAGCTCTTACCAGACCTGGCCTCTGGGGCCTCCTCCAAGCGCATAGACCTGCCTCAAGGGGACCCCCTTCCAACCTTCCTTTCTTACAGTCTTTCAAAGGCCAAAGACCTGGGGGTGGGGGTGGGGGGGTAGTGAAGGGGGCTGCTGAGAAGGGTTGGGGGGTCCAGGAGGGCAGTTCGGTAGCATGTGCCGCGGCCTGACCTGCACCACCTCAAAAGCGAGACCAGAACCAGCCCTAGGTTGGGGGGAGGGGGGTTCCCTACAGATTTGGCTACAGATCTCCTTCCGCGCCAGAGACTCCAGATCCCGCCGCCCTTCGCACTTCGGGAGCCCGCGAGCCCGTCTAAATAATCACTGGGAAGTTCTGGGTAAATTCTTCAGCTAGAGTCTCCTCCACGCACACACACCCCACCCCACACGTGTCGGCCTGAGCCCACACAACAAGCCGGGCAAAGGGAAAGAGAAAACGCAGGAAATGCCCTAAGGATGGAGCCGAGACAGGCGCCCGGAGAGAGCCTCCTGCGCCTTACCTGTACCAGTCCAGCCCGCGGCCGTAGTTCCTGTCGAAGAAGTGGGGCTCGGTGCCCAAGGCCCGCACGTCCGGGTGCACACGGATAAACTCCAGCACGGCCCGGGTGCCCCCCTTCTTCACGCCCACAATGAGGGCTTGGGGCAGCCGCTTGGTACCCAGCTTCGGTGAGACCGAGTGGTTGGAACCCGAGAGGCGAGGGGCGGGCGCGGCGCCCGCGGGCGCGCTGGCGGCGCCGGGCTCGCTGGGCGTCGGCCCCGGGGGATCACAGGGGCGGGACTTCTGGAGAAGTTTCTGGCCGCCCGCGTCGGAGCCACGGAGGCAGCCGGGCGCGCCGAGGAGGCGGCTCTGGCCGAGGTCGTCGCAACAGCACAGGAGGCTGTAACACAGGTAAGTGCAGGAGAGCGAGAGCGTGAAGGCGAAGAGCAGCCTGCGCGCCCTCCGCGGCTGAGGTGGCCCCGCGCGGCCCAGGACCCTATAGGCCATGGCTCCATGGACCCGCACCGGGGGTCATGGTTTCCGAGGGGGCGCCAGCGGCGGAGCTGCTGTGGCCCTGCGGCCGCCTAGAGAGCTCGCGCGGCGCAGCCGGGGCCACTCGCGTGGTGCCTAGAGGGCGCCGTCCTCTCCGGGCGCTGCTGGCCGGGGCGCGCACCATGCCCGGGGGTCCCGGGGGCGGCGGCTCCTGGGGGGACAGGCGGCCGAGCTTCCAACATCTCCTGGTCCTAAAGTGCGGGGCTCCGGGCCGCCGGGCGCCTCCGGGCGCTCCGCGGCTCTTCCGTGCGCCCGCTGCCGAGCGCACCCAGCGCCCGAAGCCCCATCCCGGATGGTCTGAGCGCGGCGCACCGAACGCGCGGCGGCAGCGCGGCAGTGCCGCTGGCAGGCGGGTCGGACGGTGGCGCTGGCGCGGACCCGGTTTCGGCTCCTGGAGAAATGCCGAGCCGAGCGCGCTGCCGGCTCTATTTAAGGAGTCGCCTGACGTCAGCCGCGCGGGTCCCCCGAGCCCGCGCCCCACCCGGGGACCTGGCCCGCCCCCTGCACCCCCACTCTTACTCTTGTCTGGATCCACAGCCTCAGGCCCTCCCCACGCAGGCCGCTCCCTAAAGAGCCCTGACCAGCTTGGGGCGACGGAGGAAGGGTGTTGAGGCATTCACTCCGCCAGGGAGCTAGACACCCCCACCACGCTGGGCTCTCGACACCCGGGGGTGAGGACCCGGGTCAAGATTGCGCCAGCACCCGCACACGCAGACTCGGGAGCAGACACCCTAGACTGATGTACGGTCCCACCACACACGCGCGCGCGCGCGCTCTGACACAGGTACACACGTACCCGAACCGGACACACCCTTGCACCCCGCATGGGGTGGGGAAGGGAGAAATCTCCAACCTGGGCGTAGAAACACCCACAGAGACACTGCGCTCGCTCTCCCACCCCATCGCACTCAACAGACACACACAGCCTTAAATCGGACATCGTGCGTGCTGGGCGCGCGCGCACCAGCGGCACCGGGACACACACTCTAGCGGGATGGGTGTGGAGGAGCTGAGCGTGAGGTTCCGTGACTATTCGTGGAGCTCTCTAGCCCCCCGCGCGCTGACTCACACCCAGGCGATTTGCTCTGTCTCACACCCATGAAGCATACACCCCCACTCCACTGACACTCCGCCTGCCTCGGCTCCTGGAGCGAGAGAGCGCCTCAGGGAGCCGGCACCCTCTCGCGCAGGTCGGGCCAGCCTCTTAGCGGCCGCCCCCTAGTGGCGGACTGCACCCTGGGGCCGTGTCCAGGGTCCCACAGCGTCTCTAAGGTCCAGGGTGCTGTGGACATCTCGCGGTGGCACGAGCAGTCGGACTTAGCCAGGAACAGTCCCACTTCGAATGCAGCCTATAAGATCGCCACAGGACAATTCTCAGTAGCCATGCTCAGAACGGGCTCGAGTAGTTCCCTGAGTGGCCACACGGGTGGAACACGGGTGGATCGGAATGGTGCATTAGAACAGGTCTTAATGACCTTAGCCAAGAACACAGCTAAGTTGCCTCTACGCAGCAACGCTACGGCACCTTTCCCAGGTGTTCGTCAAATAACACCCCATAGAAAGTCTGAGTGACTGCTATCGCTCTGTCCTTCCCTCCAAACACAAAACCAAACCAAACCAAAAAACACCCATACCTGACCATCCTTGTCAGGGTCCTTCCTCAAGGAATTAACCTGGTCTGAGTCAGTGGACTTTAGCCCAAGGGAGGGAATATTTTGTTCCCAAATCAGGCTCATCTTTAAAAACTTAGGTCGGTCCCTCTACTACAATAATCATTGTTTTTGTTTTAAGCAGTAGGAATGTGCTGACTTATTTAATATTCACCACAACCAATAAGATTGTTACCAAATCCCCAGTGACTTTGGCTCCTTAGCTCTGAGAGTGGCTAACATTTATTGAGTGCTTGCTTTGTGCCAGTAGTGTGCTAATCATTTGACATGCACTATCCCGTTTATCTTTGGAGACAGGTGTTATTATAACTCTTAATTTATAGACAGTGAGATGAAGGCTTAATGAACACATACTTAGTAATTGAGAGCACTGGGATTGAAGCAAGCAATCTAGCTCCAAGATTCAAGCTCTTAATTACAGTGCTTTGCAGTTGCCTAACCTCTTTTGACCATTCCTCACACAATTCCATCCTGGCGGTGACCTAATTTGCCTGTCTCTTTTCTAAAATCTGATGCTTGGAACTCAAAGAGGAATTCCAAGTATAAAGTTAAAATTCAACAGGACTCTCACCTTCCTTCTGTAAACTCTATTTCAGGTAATGCCACCTGTGACTCCATTCTCTTTTCCTTATAGCTACATCACACTGCTCACATCTCCAGCTTGCAGCCAAGTAACCTCTCTGAGTGTTTCTTACAAGTGCTTCTGATTAAGACACATCTACCCCATACTGTGCTTGTACAGTGGCTGTTGTGGGACCCAACATGTAAGTCCTTCGATGTCTGGCCTGATTAAATTTTATCTTGTCTCATCAGCTTACCTACCGCTGCAAGGTTTTAAAAATGGATCATTGTATTTGAATCTTCCACCACAATGTAGCTTTCATTTCTTCACAAAGAAGGAAATAACATTGGATCCCAGGTGTGACCTTATGAAAGAAAATGGTTTGATCTCTCTGAAACTCAGTTTTCTCTTCTATAAAATGGGGAGTTATGATGACCTTCAAAACACCTCTTGGGGTTTTGATATGCAATTTGATGAGCTATTATTCAAGGCATGAGCCGATATTGGTATAATATCATGTCCCCTATTTGATTACAATTTCATTAATAAAAGTGTCAAAACAAATGTGTTGAAAGGAGTTCTGATATGTACTTTGAACAGTTTTTCACATTATAAGACTGCTGTTTCTGCACTTCATCGTTAACATTACAATGTTAAATGTGGACTAATCCTCTCTGACAGGCGCTTTTTCTTAGGGAAAAAAAGTATGAATAGAGTTATTTCTTGTAAGTCTCTGCTTGGCTCAATTTTAAAATTATTTTTATCTTTGAATTCATCATTTTGTCGCTGAAATTCCCGAGTATTCAGATATATGAGGGCTAGGAAGATTTGCTTCTTTAAATTTCTAACCTGAGTAATGATTGTGACTTCTATAGAATATTTCAGGGAGTGAGGTAGTGGGTATCTACCCACTCCATTTCTTTAGAATAGGATCCCCCCCCCCATTTCTCTGGGGGAGGGTGTCATGATTCCACATCGAGGGGATTGGGTAAGATGTTGGATTTTGTGGTTTGTCAGATAACACTCACTTGGATATGATAAATGTTTATTCTTCTGTCATTAAAGCAAATGAAGATGGTTCAGGGCTGGTAAGTTACCATAACTTTGGAGACTCAGCACAACGATTTATTTCCTACATTCCAAAGTCTCCATGTGGTCCAGGAGTCTCCCCATCTCCAGCCTTCCTGCCTATCCATATTCTGATCCTCAGTAAGGAAGAAAGAACATGCTAAGATTTGTAACATCCCTTCAAGGTAATTTCCTGGGGACTGTCTGCTTTGCTTTCACTTACATCAAGTTGGGACACTCAAGATGGGACTTGAGTTTCTAACTTCAAGATCCCCTTGGCAATATAGTCTTGATGCTGGTTGGCCTTATGCCTGGGCTAATGTTTGAGTATTTTTATTACTAGAAAATTGAAAAAAAATTATGGAGGACAACTAGTAATCTCCACTGACCTTGGAGAAAGAGTTTTCCCTTATTCTTTATTTGCAGGGTTTGTGCAACAATTTCTAATCATCCTTTAATGATGGAAATCAACTCAAATCTTTCCAGTGAGCATGAACCACAGAACTCTTGTTGAAACTCTTGGAACCAAAGAAACTTTTTCTTGAGATGGTAAACTAGTACAAAACAAGCTTACACTTCAAGGGGTCAGTTCTGCCATCAAGAGTGGGACTCGAGATATCAAAGCAAAATACACAAGACAGAGAATCCAGTTCCTGCTGACACCCTGCAAGCCAGGTTAGAAGCATAGACACTGGGCTTTATTGCACTAACTGATTACAGATGCTACCCAACTCCAGTGGTTTGACTTAATAATACTTGTGCATTCAGTAGAGACTAGACTTCGAATTTGGGATTTGATCTTTCCCTGGGCTAGAGATATTGAGGTGCAGTAATCGTTCATGATGCAGGAGAGTAGCTTTCAGCCATGCAATCAATCCAAGGACTCTACAGTGTACTGTGTGACCAGTCTATTTTGGAACAATGTTTTGTATTTTTTCACTCCATCATGTCGGCCAAACGCCCACTTGTGTCTCCTGCTGCATGTTTATTGCAGACTAGGTTAATGTTCAGTAGGTTCAGTGTACTCAATGAATTTTCCTTTTTAAAAAAAGATTATTTATGCATACAAGTGCTGGGGTGTAGGCCAGAGGTGTGGGGTTTAAACAGACCCACCAGAATAAATGTGTTGCCAAGAGGAGCAGTGGGCAAGCCAGGAGAGGTCTACTGCACCCTGTGGGTCAGCTCCCTGGCCAGGGATCAAATTCGGGCTGCTTCATAGTGTGCGACTTAACCCCTTGCACCACCAGGGAGGGCCTTAAGTGAATTTTCAACTTACGATAGCTTTATCAGGATGGAACCCCATTGGAAGTTAAGGAAGATCTGTAATTATCTTTCTGTACTTGAAATTGAAAGACTCTAAGACATCCTCCCCTTACTCCCCCCCCCCAAAAAAAAAACCAGAAACAGTTGCCACTTAAATTACAGGGGACAGGGACCATTGTAATTATGTGCTTATGGACACACTACACCTTCATACCAGGGCTAGTCAGTAATCTCTATTTTATCTGCTTTTTGAGGGGATTAACTTAAGACTGTGCATCTCAGTGCTTAGCCCAGTGCATGGTGCTGACTCAATGCTCAATAAATTGTGCCTATGATGATGATGATAACTGCTAATAACCAAAATAAACTAACATAGAGAATGACAAAAGCTTTACAGAGTTCTGTGTGCCTGTGGGGAGCTTATTTTTAGGATTATGTGCACCCCAGGACAGGACTCCTTCAAAATCTAGACAGTCATGGGGTTCAACTATTTTCTCTACCTTCTCCGCTTCTCTCTGTCTTACTTTTTTTTCTTCCCACTCTTAACTGCTCTTTTTTTTTTTTTCTTTATGACTCAGTAAGGGTTACTGAATTGCAAGCAACAGAAACTGACTTTGGCTAATGTAGGTAAAAAGAGGAATTTGGAATAGCTCACATAGAAAGAGAACTGAGAGAAAGCTCCCAGAATTAATGAGACGGCAGGAGAGCTGGGCTTGTAAACAGCACAGTAACCACAGAAACACACTTCCTTGTTTTCCTTTTCTTTCAGAGTCTTCTTTTCTCTTTCGCACCAGCATTATCTTCCATCTTCCTTCCCGCTCTAATAGACAGCATTTAATACCTTGAATTTGAATGTATAAAACAAGGAAATTTTCTTTCCCTGAAGTCTTTCAACGTAGTCGCCACTTATTCTTCAACTTTATTTCCCTGTAAGTTTTCATTCCCCACCCCCCACCCAGCATCAAGTTTTGTACAATGCAAAGAAATGTCCCCAAGATGGTGATTCTTATAAAGGAGCATGAAATGGAATCACGTGGTCTGTGGGTTGAGTGAAGTGCAGCGATCATATCTGAGCCTAGAGGATACGAATAAACAGTCTACATTTAGGAAAGAGGTTGGGAGTGGGAATGAGAGAAGATTTTATGTTCATTCTCTGGACATCTTAAAGCAAAAGCTCAAGAAACATCCAGATACAGTATCAACTCTAGAAGAGAACCACGATCAATTTGAACACTTTATAAAGTGCTTGTCATTCTCTAATTTACTTCCATTATTAGCCATTATCATCATCATCATAGGCACAATTTGTTGAGCATTTAGTCAGCATTTAGTCAGCTTCAGGCACTGGGCTAAGCACTGAGAGGCACAACCTTAATTAATCCTCTCAATAAGCAGATAAAATAGATTATGTATTATCCTTATTGTGTAGACAAAGGAATAGTCTCAAGTAGGCTGAATTTTCTGTAGTCTCACAGATGCTGCAGGCAGAAAGAAAAAAGTAGTGCGGAAGAGAAAGGATGGATGAAACTGACCGTTGGCTTTTCCCAGAATCTTCCCTAGAGGAACTATTTATCACCCCACCTGCCCACCTGCATGATTCAACCCAAATATCTTATCTCACCCTATATGGCCAACATGTCTTCCTACTGAGACTGCAAACTCCTTGGGGGCAGGAACTGAACTGTCAGTTCAGCCTGGTATTTAGGGTCTGGTCTATCTATATATTCCTGATGCAATTCCTTTGGGTTTTTTCCCTCCTTCTTAGTTGACTACTAAATATTACCCATTGAAGGCTTCAAAGGAAAAACTAATATGTCATTTCAAAATGTGTCCAAAGTAGATTATTTGCAATGTCAAGAAAGATACTTAGCTTACTTACTTGTACAATAATGTGGTAGAGCTAATCTGGCAAAACTCCCTCATCGCCTCCCCTCTAACTGAGTAGAAGCTGAAAAGAATGTCACTACTGTGACATCAGCATCCTGGGATCTTAGTGCCATATGATGAGATGAACACTTAACTATGGTGAACACTTGGAGAAATTTGTTCTTAGTTTTTTATTTCCTGTCGATGTCTTATCATACAGTGACTATATCCCCTATGTGCAAACAAATGAAAATACTCAAAAAAGAAAATAATGCCCCCAAATCATAACACTCAGAAATAACTCTTATCAATGGCTTATTTACATTCTTCCAACTATACATGCATTGTTTGCTTGTTGATGGGTGATTCTACACCTACTGCTTTTGTGTGTGTGTGTGTGTGTGTGTGTGTTTTAACTTAACATTATCATGAATGATATTTACTAACATCATGGGACTTGATTCAACACAGAAGTAAGCAAGGTGAACTGGGAATTTGCCTGACGATAATGAAGACACTACTCAAAAAAATATATGCACCACTATGCTATTGCGATACTATTTGCAATATCCAAGATAGAAAACAGCCCAAGTCCCCAACAACAGAGCAGTGGGTGAAGAAGATGTAGTGTAGATACCCATGTGATACAACTCAACCATAAAAAGGAGCTGAAATCTTGTCATTTGTGCTGGCATGGTTGGACCTGGAGGGGATTATGCTAGGTGAATTAAGTCAGAAGGAGATACATACTAGAGGATATAGTATAATATAAAAAAAAGCAAAAACAAACTTTGAGATTTTGTCAACAGAATGGTGGATAACAAAGGGGAAGGGAGAGCTAGGGATAGATACAAAAAGCCTATTGATTAGTAGTGGACGATGAATGGACATTGATGGTGGCATGACAATAAAACATAATCTTGAAATATACACAGTGTTGTAAACTAATGTTACCTTGGTTAAAATAAAAAAGAAGCAAGGGGAAAGTAGAGGACTGAGACCTAATAATGCCTGAATCCCTGATCCAGCTTTGCCTGAAACTAGATCTTCAAGAGAAACTCGAGCATAGCAGTGAGGGGCAGCTGCTACCTGGGTTCAGCTCCTGGTTCTGTCACTAGGATTAAATAGGATAATAAATGAATTGCACTTGGAACAGAGTCTGGCTAACAACAAGCCTTCATTAAATGTTAGCCAGTGTTATCCTGCAAATTTTTCAGTTACATTCATCAATACATTATCTTTTTGACTTAAGTAATTTTGATTGATAGAGATGTACTTTTCAACTCAGTATCTTTCAACCTACTTGAAAATTTTATTGACAATAAAATAAAATCAATCTGTGTTTTCAGTAGTAACCTAAGGCCCCTCCTGCTTTGGATCCAAACTTATCTCCTTGATATTTTAAAGGCTTCAAGGGATGTAACTAAATATCCTCTCTGGACACACGTGTTCAATAAATGCTTTTTGAATAAATAGATAGGTAATATGTTCAACATTCCTTTGCCTAGAAGACAATAATTTTAGCCATGAGGACATAGTACAAGTCATCTTAAATGACTGATTTCCCCAGCCACTGACCACTTCCTTTATGTCCCCTCAGTCTAAATGCCCACCCAATGCCAGTGCCTGCACCCGCACAGATGAACACAGTAAATGCACAAGTTTAATGACTAAATTCACTTAAAATGCGTTCTCATTTCAAGTGGGCCCTTAACACATCCTAGAAATTACACTACATCCCCCTAGTTCCCTCGTTCTCTGGTCTCCTACACGGCTAGTTATTTCCTTCTGTCCTCTTCTCAAACTGCCACTGCCTCCTCCCTGTCTCCATCAGTAGATGATCTTCCTGCTTTGCTGGTAAGTGGAAGCGCACTGTTCCCACCATCTCTACCCACCTGCTTGCCACCATGTCCATATACTTTTTTTTTTAAGATTTATATATTTATGCACACGAGAAATGGGGTACAGGCTAGGGGTGGGTAAGGATTCACCAGAGACAGAGTGGGGTGCAGAACAGGCAGATTGACTGAAGTACACTGCTGAGGGGAGCAGCCGGCAAGATAGGAGCGGTCTGCTGCGCCCTGTGGGTCAGCTCCCTGGCCGGGATCGAACTCGCGCTGCAGTGGCCGCGGGCAGCTCCACAGCGCTGCTTTAACCTGTTGCGCCACCAGGAAGGGCCAATGTCCATCTACTTTCTTTTCTCTCCTGTTAATGTGATTTTGTGGTCTGTTTTTAGCCAAGGCTATCCCCTCTACTTGTGTTTGCCATCCAGCCCACGCTTTTCTATTCAAGGGCACGACTCCAGCAGTCCTTTTCTTTTTCTCCCATGTCATCAGTTTCTCCCCTCTCCACTGGGTCCCTCCATTACCATATAAATGCACTGGTATTTCTTCCATCTTAAAAAGAAAAGACATATGAACCCTGTCTTGATCCCATCTCCTGCTCCTATCAGAGCTCCAATTTATTCCTCTCTTCACAACTCAATGCCTCAAAAGACCACTGAATCCTAAGTCTCTTCTCCTGCTAACCCCTGGAGCCCATCCCAATCGAGCTTATGCTCCCCAGCCTCCTGTAAAACCATGCTCACAGGCACCCGTCAGTCCACAGTGCTAAACTCACACCAACTGGTGATGGTGGTGGTGGTAAACACTTCTGGAAAACTGTATGTCCCACCTCTCAGGCAATCTGGAGGCCCTGAGGATGGAGTGTGTAGGTGGGAGTGTGCCCTCCTGGCTTCCTGCATGGAAACCTGGCCCGTGGCTCCTGAAGACAGCCGTAACAAGAGCAGAAGGGCCACGAGACCGTGGCGGACGGCCATGGCCACTGACAACGTCACTTTTCCTCTTGCTCCTGCAGCCCCAGGCGGTTCTGCAGCAGCCCTGGTGGAGATGGGGGGTGGGGGGGAAGGGGTTCGGCAGAAGCCTGGGTTGGTTGTGCAGCTCCCACCACATTTGGAATCAGTCTCCTGTATTCCACGCGCTCTCTGAAATACCTCACCGGGTACTGTTTTCCTGAGCAGGCGCTGCCTCGTGGGTCTCCCTCAGCTTGTCTCAATGAGAGTCTCCTGCTTGAAGAGCACCCTCTAGACTTGCTGACTCACTTGGAAAGAAGATTGAACTGGGGGCTACCCAGCTTGCCTCTCTCTCCTGCCCCCACACTGTTCTTGAGCCATCCGCAGGCTCAGCAGTAACCCCATTTCTACGGGAGAAATAACCAGAAGAAACTGACCCCTGCATGAATACCACATGAGGGTGACTTTAACCTAATTCTCCTGGGTTCCCATTGACACACCCCCTTTTCCTGCACACTGATCGAGGCCTCCCCGTCATCATCTCAGCCTGCAGCGTAAGTGCAAAGCAGACCGCACCATTCCCGCTGGTGCGCACGGAGGAACATCGGTCTGGCTCAGATGTCGGCCTTGTCCTCGCGGGGCTTTGCGTGGTGCCGGACGCCCTCAGTCCCGAGTTTTGAGGCGGCTCTGGCGCAGCGTCTCCTGCTGTGGGCACAGCGCGGGTTTCTTAGCTCTGCCGGGCAGGTGCCACTTCCAATCTTTCATTGCCACTTCTCATTCTCGGTTGCGCCCACTCCCTCTCTTTGTCCTTATAGATGAATACTTCTGTTTCATTTCTTTCGACGCAGCGGGATGGTGAGAAACACAACCTGTGTGATGGAGGGGCTCTGGAAGAACCTTGAACTTCTCCAACAAAAGCACTCGGCAGTGGTTTCTGTGCTCATCTCTGCGGGCCAACGAGTCCGCTTCTCCTGCTCAACGTCTTCAGCTCCCACCGTTCTCAAATGCAGCCCTGCAGGCAGCGAGCAGCGGGCAAGTAAACAGTTTAAGAAGGTCAGCTGGTGGGTAGGTGGGAAACCTAATTAATTTGTCCTACACAAGCAGTACATGAATCATACCATTAAAAAAAAAAAAATACAGGCTAGTGTTGCCAATGGCAAGGCATGCTTTGATCATCCCTCAGCAATTTCTCTCCTCTACCCAATTTTTCTTGAATCGCCAAAAGTAACTAACAGCATCACTGTTTAGATGCTATATATTTTTTTAAGATTTATTTTATTTACTTATGCACACAAGAGCTGGGGTGCAGGCCAGAGGTGCTGGGGTGAGAGGCTTCCCCTGAGAGATTAGGAAGCAGGACAGGTGGATCTGCTGAAATACACTGCTGAGGGGAGCAGTGGTCAAGACAGGAGAGGTCTGCTGCGCCCTGTGTGCGGGTCAGCTCCCTGGCTGGGATCGAACTCGTGTGGCAATGGCTGCAGTTAGCTTCATAGTGTGTGACTTAACCCCTTACACCACCAGGGAGGCCCCAGGTGGTATATTTTTTGTCTTTCTTCTGTTTTTTTTTTAATGGATTGGAAACACCAGCATACTCTGCTAGCTTTGAAAGCAGTGTATATATATATACATACATATATATACAATTAGGATCTTCTGAAACTTGCTTTTTTCACTCAGCTTGTGACGGCCTACAAGTTTCCCGTCATTGAAAAGTAGCACATTCCTGTGACGTGATTTGGTAAGTTCTATTTGGTAGGATATTTTGGGGAGCTTAGAAACACTCTTACCATTTGTTTATATTGCAAAAATTTTTGAGTACCCCCATACCCTCCCCCCACAAAAAATAACCTACCAAATGATACCAAAGAGGAGCATTCTACCTTCCAAGAATGGGCAACCCTTTAGGGAGGGGCCCCATCTCTGCCAAGAATTTCTTCATATATATCAAGTTGTTTCCAGTTTAGATTTCTATATGTCATGTCATGTTTCACTTCACCATGAGCCTTTTAATAGGCACTTAGCTTTGTGCTCACAGAGGTAAAATGTGGCTTCCTATGATTGAGACACCCCATTCAACAATAGTCTGAATAAGGTCTGACGTGACCGATTTCACTTGAAGGAAGTCCAGAGTCAATGTGGTGGCTCTATAGAATTTTCCAGCACCCAGTTCTGACTCTCAGTAATTTACTTACTGCTGTGCCCCACCTCCTTGTGGCTGAAGATGGGTGCTTCTGTTCCCACAATCACATCCTCAATCCAGGCTACTGCCTGGAAGAAGAGTACGAGATGCACCCTCCCCCACCACTTCAGCTTTCCCAGAAGCCCCACACTAATGTCTGCTGGCCTCTCACGGGCTGGAACTTAATTCTATGGCCACTCCCAGCTACCAGGAATATTGGGGCGAAGCCCTTTTGATGGGAAGTTATGTGAATGGGTTCTGTTGTTTTGAAAGAGGTGTTTGTTGGGTAGGCAGCTAGCAATCTCTGCCTTAGGCTGTTAAGAACCTGTTCTTGCAATCTTGCTTCCTGACCTCTGAAGAAAGAGACCACAGTCAAATATCCCCGCTGCCGTGAGCACACCCTGGGGCTGGAGGGGGTTCCGAGCTCTCTGTACTCGCAAGCACTTGGTGCAGGGTCAGAAACTCATGCTGGCTGACCTTCAAGGGATCGTGGGGGCTGAGAGGGAGGGGTAAAGTGGGCTGGGCAGTGCAGGGCCTTGAGTACTTGCAACCAGCCAAGTGAGAAGTTTTCAGTAGTTTTAGCAACAGGTGCAGTCCTGCTTATGGTTTCCGTTTCTGTGTTTCTCTGGGTGGGTTCCCAGCCACCGAGACATGCCAGCTGCCCTTGAACATGGCCATGCTCACCCTTACATGCTCAGCCACTTCCTCCCGCCTCCTTCATGCCACCTAGAAAGAGATTATGTTTTAAAAATAATCTTTCCAATCATATGGAAGGAAAATGCTATTGAATTGTTTCTTATTTGCAAATGCCTGCCAATTCTTTTTGTATGTTCCTCGGCTATCTAGGGTTCCTTGCCTGTACAGTGACTGTTCATAGACTTTGCCAATTTTCCTGGAATTCATTTTGGTATGTAATCTGAGGTGGCACTCTAATGATTTCCAATTGGATAAGCAGTTGCCCCAAATTGAGTCCTAAATAGTGCTCTTGTTTCTCGCAGTGTATAAAGTACTGCGCTTCTCATCTCTGAGCCTGCTCTTTGGCCCTGTAGATCTATTTGTCAATATTTGCGAATGATTATTATCTTAACGTGCATTAAGCTTGTAATAATTTCACAAGGCTTTTCCAAAATAAATGTTCATGTAAGAATCCTAAGGAATAGAGAAAATGCACTTGAATACAAGCATTAAGAATGATGTGCTTTTTGCATGATCTTAAGATAAATGATAAATGTATCATAATTGAAACAGTCTGGTTGTAGATCAAGACAGAACAGGCAAAATCTTGAGCAATGGAGCAAAAAGAGAAAATTCAAAAACACCCTCATGTTCATTATGTGACGAAGGTGGCGTTTGGCTTTGGAATTAAGCCAAGTTGTTTACCAAAACAAATTCCAGACAAATCAACGCATTTAATATTAGAAATTAGGCTATGAAATCATTACAAGAGCACACTGAGTGGAGATAAAAATTAACTTTTTCAGTATAAAAGCAGAGACAGTACCATAAAGGATAAAGACTAGTAAATCTGTCTTATATATATATATACTATATAAACAGTTCACATTGTAGATCTAAAAATAACTAAAGTTCTCAAATACAATGTTAAAAGTAAATGATACCAAAAAATTTAGCAGTGTCTACAACATGCAAAGTTTAATATCCTTAATACATAAAAAGCCTAAAAAGGCAGTAAAGATAATAACTGCCACATGGGAAAATAGTCAAAGCATATGAATAGCCATTTCAGAAAAGTTCAAATTGAAAATGAAAACTGAACATACAAATGAAAAACTGAACACTGAAGAAGAGCAAAATAAAATAATGTTAAGTAGAAATGATCACCAGTTAAGTCCCCAACAATTTTTGTATATAATTTTGGGGTTACATTTTGGGGTTCTTCCAAATGTGCACCAAATCACTCATGCCAATTCCCCAGCTCCTTCCCTACCAGCACCCCAAATCCCACACCCTCTGGTAATCAGTACATTTTTAAATGACAAACTCACGTGGAGAAAGGGCATTTTCAGACATACATGAGTATGACAATTAGCACGAATGTTCTGGAAGACCATTTGCCAGTGTATATTACCAAGTATAGAGCATATTCATACCTTTTTTACTCAAGCTAGAAATTTATTCCAAGAAAATAGATTCTGGATAAGTACAAAGGTTTGTACATAAGAAATTGGTTCATTTATAGCATTTATATAAAATTTGAAGCAATCTTGAAACTGCATCAAATTGGTTTTTAATGAACTTTGCCATCTCGGCACCAATTCCCTATATCCACCTCAGTTTGGAGTGTCTTAGAAGAGGCAGAAGGTCACGGGTCAGAGAGGGAACAAGATTGGCATCTCATGTGTGTGTCTGAACTTGGCCCCTTGGTGATCTAACTCAGTGGTTCCCAGCCCTGGCCTCACACTCCAATCACCTGGGGTAAATTTGAAAAATGCTGATATCTGAGGCCCACAGATTGGTCCTGGGTGAAGTCTAGGCCTGGCATTATTTTTAAAGCTCCCTGGGTGATTATAGTGCACGGCCAGGGTCAAGAACCATTGCTAACCAGCTCTCCCTTTAAGTTGATTAATTACACAGGCTATTGACCAGCGCTGGTACTGACAGCCTCCAGGAGCCCCGGGGAAGCCAGGCCTGTGCTTGAGCCTGATCGCAGGTGGGCAGCGGCCAACCTCACGCCCCAGGAGAATGGCCTCCCTGGCCTGCTGCAGCCTGCCAGCCAAGTGTCTGCAAGATTTAATACCGAAGAGGTCACGGGTGACCTTGACAAGCAAGCTCACCACAAGGGATTCTTGACTGTTCTGTGACAAACTGCCACAACAAAGCTACACACCAGTTGTGTTTCCATTTTTAGCTTCTTTATTACCTCCATCTGTTGATGGAGACGCAGTAGAAAACACACTGTGTGAGCTGCGGCTTCTCCTGTATTGTATAAATAAGGGCAGCCAGACTCCCCCGGTCTCCCACTTGCAGGGGGGCTGATGCTTCCTAAGTGGTTCCCCCCTTCTGGCCGTGCATCCAGCTCTTCCCCTCAGACTCTTCTCCCTTCTCCTCCACCTCAATAACACTCGTGGCAGTTCACACTCCATTTCACACAAACAACTTTCTAACACTTCCCTGCTGTACTGTGATGGCTGGAGGGTAGCTGCAGACCTTGGCAATGCTGCTTTATTTCCATCAGCGGTGGCCTCTTCCCCAGCCCTCCCACCACCGCCACCCACCTCGAGCCTTGTGTCATGGAACGGTGAGCAGGAGGGACCATCACTCCCTTCCGATCATTTATTAACATAGGAATGGAGATGGTGGACTCATGTCTAGAACCCCCTTCTCAGTATAGATGAAAGAATAAATGTGGATAACGTTTTCCCCGTGTCCTTTCCTAAAAGATTCCTAAGAGAAGGAAACCTGAGAAATGGGAATATTTGAGTTTCACGTCCCACTGTTCAGTCACTGATTCTTCTTTATGATGTCCGCTCTGCTCAAGTAGCAACAATATGATGATTTCTGTCAACAATATGATGATTTCTGTAAAATTCCTTTCAATCATTTCACCTTTGATACTGAAATAACGTATTTTTATTTATTTTTTAAAGATGTATTTATTTATGCATACAGAACTGGGGTACAGGCCAGAGGTGCAGGTAGGTGGGAGATTCACCAGAGATGGGGAGCAGAACAGGCAGGTCAAGGAAGTACACTGCTGAGGGGAGCAGCGGGCAGGTCAGGAGAGGTCTGCTGTCCCATAAGGGTCACCTCCGGGGCAGGCGGGGATCAAACTCATGCTGAAGTGCCTTTAGCTTTTTAGTGCTGTGCTTTAGCCCGCTGCACCACCAGGGAGGGCCGCCCCCTCCCAATGTATTTGTAAAGAAAGTCTGATTATTGCTCAAAGTAAAAACCAGCATCTTTCTCAAAATTGAAGGTTGCCTTCAAAACACCTATCAGGGAGGTTTTTTAAAGGTGTGATTACATCCGTTAGGCGTTGTAGCCTGCTGGAGACTGAGTTTAAGAATTGCTCTCTCTTTGTTCCAAAAGACAGGTGGGGGATGTCATCTGCATGTCCTGCATCCAGAGCCTCCTTGATGGAGTCAGGCGGCTTGACAGATGCGCGTGAGAGAGTTACTTTCTTTGTGAGTTGACGGTTGTGTGACACCCGGAATTATCTGTGTCATCACCAGGAAGCGCCACAGTGGGAGAAACACTCTCTAGCCCATATTTGCTTTTATTTCTAGCAAAAACCTGGCTCAGCCTCCCAGCCTCTGGGGTCAGCCCAAAGGTAAACCCAGACAGGGTTTTGGACCCTTTAACCCAGGCCAGCTATCTCGGGGCCAGCCAAGAGCCTTGAACGACTCAAATTCAGTAGGTTGAGTGGCAACTCAAGAACTGTAACTTCCAGAAGTACACCAGGTGATTTTGATGGTGAGACAGATTTGGGGAACTCTACTCTAGGGGCTACACGTGAGCCTCGATATTCCTCAATCTGTCCTGGAGAATTACACTCTCTCAGCCCTCTCTCCCAACTCTAAACTAAATCTCTCCAAAACACTCCCACCAAAGAGACTCTTCTCAGCCCTTACCACTACCCTAGCAAGCTAGAAGGATCTTTCCTTTGTTGATAATCCCTAAAATAACCCCGTCCGGTTTACACCTGGAGAGGGAGAGGAGGAAGAAGAAAAAGGTTCCTGCCTTCTTGCCATCACCAGGCTGGCATGCGCGTCCCTCCCACCCACTCATCATCATTCTCCATCTCCACTGGGACACTCCAGACCATCACACAACTTTGACCTCTAGGAATCCTTGGTCCTAAAGAAGACCAGTAAGAGAAAGCATGCCAGCAGTGTTAAAACATCCTTGAATTCAGGGGCCTCCTGGTGGCCTAGGGGTTAAGCCTCGGCACCTGTGTGCTATCACCACTGCAGCCTGAGTTCGATCCCCGGCCAGGGACCTGACCCACATGGCACAGCAGATCTCTCTGCTGCTCCCTTCAGCAATGTGTTACAGTAGATCTGCCTGTTCTGCTCCCAACTCTGTCTCTGGTGAACCTTCTCACTCCCCGTACCTCTGGCCTACATTCCAGCTCTTACATGCTTAAATAAATCTTGAAAAACATCCTTGAATTCAGCATGTCCCTTTGCTGCAGGAGATGCACTGTGCAGTGAACTCATCCTGATGGGTGTCCTTATTCTGGATCAAACATTTGTAGGGGAGCACCATTCAGGTTTTCTCTAGCCAAGGCCTATAGCCTCTGACACATTTGGGTCTTTAGATTCCAAATCACTTCTACCATTCTACTGGAAGACGTTCAAGGAAAGCATAAAACATGTAGACTCTTGAGCTGGGCAAACTTGAGCTCAAAGCCTGTCGTCACTACTAGCTGCCCAAGTGAACTTCCCCAGGGGACCTCGGTTTTCTTGCATTCTCTTTTAGGGGTGGCAAGGTCTAGGCAAACACTGCTCCTGACCCCCTAGTTGAGACAATTGACACTGTCTCTGCTCCTGGGAGGCAAAATTGGCCCTGTGAATCTCTTCTGTTCTCGTCCACTCTGACTGCTGGCCCCAGTCTGGTGTTTGGTAGCCCCAGCTCTGAGGAAGTAGCTTATTTTTTCCAACTAGAACGCCCCTTCCCTTAACTCCCACCCCAAGTTCCAGCCCTCACACCAGCCAGCTGCTGTTTCCTCTTCTACCCGCTGTGCTCCAGGCCCAGGAGGCCCGTTCGTCAGCCCATTTGCCCTCTGTCAATGCCCTCCAGGTTTTTTCTATCCCTCATAAACTGTGGTACCAAGCTGAGCCCAAGATTCCAGGTGTGGCCTAACAGGGGAGGCCGGACGAGAACTATTTCCTGCCTGTTTCGCCCAGAACATTGTGCTTCTATTAATGCATCTTTGAATCACATTAGTTGTTTTTTGGCAGCCACATCCCACTGTTGACTCAGACTGAGCTTGCGGTCAATTAAAACCCACAAGCCTGGGTCCTGCTGCTCTTAGACCCGCTTTACTGCATCCTGTGCTGCTGCCGGGGGCGGAGTGACTGCACACGCACTTTAACCTAATTTTAGTCAATTCCATTTGCTGTTGTCAACTTGCCTCCCTTTGTTGAGTCTTGTGCACTAGATGTGTTGAAGCTCTGGTCACCCTCCAGCATGAGAACTGCTGGGGCTGGTCGTGTCATTCCAAGGGGGTCAGCCTGTGGCCCTCCAGGGTCTTCACTGAAGGAGGCCAGACAAGAGGATTGGGGAGCTTCTTGCCCAGATGTACTTGGTCGTGTTTAAATCGCTTCCATTTCTCCTATTTATCTGAAGGGTATTGGGAGAAAATGCATCTCTTTAAAATTGGAAGGCTCTTTTCTTTCTTTTTTTTTTTTAAGATTTATTTTGTATGCATACAGGAGCTGGCGTGCAGGTCAGAGGTGCAGAGGGTGAGAGGATTCATCACAGACAGAGAGGGGAGCAGAACAGGTGGATCTGCTGAAACACACTGCTGAGGGGAGCAGTGGAGGAGACAGGAGAGGTCTGCTGTGCCATGTGTGTCGGCTCCCTGGCTGGGGATCGAACTCATGCTACAGTAGCTGCTGATAGCTTCACAATGTTGATACAACCCCTTGCACCACCAGGGAGGCCTCCTGGAAGACTGTATTCTTCAGCTTTAATGAGGAAGTTATGACAGGGGCAACATCATGAATGAATGTTCTGGACATGATGCTAAGCTGAAGTCATCAAACACAAAAGATCCGATGTCATGGGACTCCTCTTCCACTGTGTGTCTAGAAAGAGTCACAGCCATAAAGATGAAAAGTAGAATGGTGACTGCAGGCTGGAGGACAAGGGACCCCATAGATGGGCTGCGAGGAGGTAGAGGTAGAGACTCCATGTGGGAAATTGCAAATGCTGTGGATCTGGGTGTTTGGGTGTCTTGAGTGCAGGGTGGCTGGGTGGCTGGGTTGTCTAAGTGTCTGATTGGCTAGAAGTCTGGGTGGATGAGTATCTGAGTGTCTGGGTGTCTGGGTGTCTGAGCATTTGGGTATGTGGGTGTCTGGGTGGCTGAATAACTGGGTGGCTAGGTGTGTGGGTGTCTAGGTGTCTGAGTGTCTGGGTGTCTGAGTGTCTGGGTGTCTGAGCGTTTGGGTGTGTGGGTATCTGGGTGGCTGAGTATCTGGGTGGCTAGGTGTGTGGGTGTTTAGGTGTCTGAGTGTCTGGGTGGCTGAGTGTCTGGGTGGCTGGGTATCTGAGTGGCTGAGTGGCTGGGTGTCTGAGTGTCTGGGTGGCTGGGTGTCTGAGTGTCTGAGTGTCTGGGTGGCTGAGTGTCTGGGTGGCTGGGT